ATGATGAGCAACGTTGCGAAACCCGAAGTGGGGCTCGGCAGAGCGGCCGCGGGAGCGCCGCTCGCTCGGGAGTGACCCTGGCTCTCAGCCATGGACTCGGCGCCCRGCGGGAGAGACCGGACCCGGATACGGGAACCGGCCGTATCGGCCGCAGGAGCCAGCTGCTGTGTGGCCCCGTGGCTGCCGCGGGCCAGCTGAAGGCAGGAAAAACCTTTCTTGCTCCAATRCAGTTAATTAAAAGGCACCCAGGCTTGGAAGCACCATCCTCTAGGTCCTTTTCTGGGGTGAGGTTGCTGCTCCTCAGGTTTTCCACGTTTCTATGAATTTAGGGTGGTTAAACTGGACATGCAATTGRCTTGGCTGTTGCTGTAGAGGGAGAGGCGAGAGCACAACCTTTCCTCTGCTTGCAAATCCCCCGCGCACGTCTCCCATCACGTCCTCCCCTAGCCACGGCGCCGGGATGCGCGCCCACAGCAGCAACTGCGTGTGGGGACGACTGCCTCTTTTTTTTCTGGCCTTTTTTCTTTCTTAATTCCTTTTTTATCTCTCCCTCCTGCTGCTTTCCGGGAGATCCTGTCTCYGGGTACAGACTGTCCTCCTCGTTCCCAAGTACCTTCCTTTGCATCCAGGGCTATTTAAAATGCACCATGGCTTGTGATAATTTTATCAGATGGTTCGGATCGCTCCGTAACAGCAAGCAGCCTGTTCGCTGCCTATTTGCATCATCAACAAATTTAAACCTTCGTCTTGTCATCTAGATAATTGATTTTAAAAACTACTGAATGGCACTGGACCAAGAAACCGTCTCTCAGGGTCCAGTCGGGTCCCCATTTGTTGGCGTCTCCCCATTAAAGCTTGGCTCACCGACAGAGCTCTTCAAAACGTAGCTGCTAATGAATTTAGCTGTTAATCCAGCATGAGATCTATTAATTCTTTATAATACARGTTTTTAATTAAAAAATGACGTAATTGTTGAACGCTGTGGAAAAGCCCATGTGTGCTTTACAGAYGCTGCTGCTTTTGTTCACCAGACAGCAAGTTTTGTGCAAAAAGGATGAGGTTTCTTAAAGCACACGTGGGCCACCAAGCCACACCTGGGGTGCCACGCGCTGCTCTTGCAGCTTCTCCCTGTCAAAACTGCAACCTAAGCCCGGGTGTCTCTGCAGCTTCTTCCTGTATTATTTTGGCTCATTTGGAGCTAAGGCTCATGCTGGCCACACTCCGGCCCAGGTTTTGCTARGAGATGACAGTAGTGGTTCAGAGGGAACCACAGCTGTAGCAGCAAAATCTAGGAGGTAAATTATCCCGCCCGTGGCTTGGACATGCCCAGTTTCGGGAGCCGTGGCCTCCCCTCCTGCGGTGCGAACGCCCCGCTCCAGCGGCAGCGCTGCGCGAGACAGGATCCCTCCTGCAGGTCCTGTCGAAGCAGGATGCACCCAGGCCTTGGAAAAGCTTTAATGGTCTCGGAAAATCCGGTTTCTGTTCAGGAAGGGTCTTGGAAAGGCGGCTCTGCCTGGTGCTGCTTTGCTGCACGTGCCTTCCCGTGCGCGACAGCGGGACCCGCTCCGCGTTTGCACACGGGCAGGGTGGTCAGCGCAGCGGCAGGCTGGCCACAGCGGGTGAGGGTGCATGGTGCACGGCCCGGGAAGGTGCACGGCTTGGGACGGTGCACAGCCCGGGAAGGTGCATGACCCGGGATGGTACATGGTGCACGGCCCGGGAAGGAGCTCTGGTTTCATTGGCAGCGCCCAAGCACCGTTGGCTGTAGTGGTGGCTGGGGAAAGAATAAACCTTCTGAAGGGTAAACACACAAGGAATATTTGAGCTGTCTTCTTTAGGAAGCAGGATTAAACACGGATCCTCCACCCAGGGTATTGTTTCTACCAGTGGGTTTTCACAGCATGCAGCACGCTAAGCAGTGCAGTAGCTTCCCAACTCTAACTGCGGGGGCGGGTAGGTAAAAATGCTCTGTGTAATTGTGCCATTTTCCCCCAATTTCACATCCAAATAGGAGCAGAAAGTGGCAGGTGTTGCCCGTGTTCTTCACCTCCTTTCACAGTGTGGTGGCCCATTAGAGCCAGGCCACCCGCCTGCCGAGAGCTGCCGGCTCGGCGTCTGGCTCCAAAGGGCCACATGGACCCTCGGAAAGGTGCCCGGAGCAGGAGGCTCGGGCTGCCTGTGCAAACTCCTGCCCCTGGCAGATAGGGCCAGAGCAGCTCTTGGAGACAGAGAGGAGGAAAAGGCAGATGTTACCCGTGTGTTACAGCACTGGTGAGGCTTGCTGTGGGGTACTGTGGCTTCAAAGAGCTGTGGGAAAATCAGGGAGGTTGTGCAGAGCAGAGGTGCCAAAAGAAGAGCTTGAGGGTGGGGGAAAAAATCCCCAGCAGGAGAATTTGCTCCTGAGCCAGGGATGGGGAGCTCCAGCTCATGCCTTCAATCAAATCTAGCTGCTTTCTTGGGAAATGCRTGAGAGCCAGACACGGTGTTCCGGGCTGACGCAAGGAGGGGACCTGCCGAGCGGTGTCCTGGGCAGCCGAGTGCAGCAAGGAGCATCCGRTGGTTTCACGTGAGGAAGGCGTTGGAGCCGCGGTCTGGCCGGGCACATGGCAGGGGATGTGTCAGAGCAGACCCGGCGCTCGAGGAACATCTGGAGGGTGGCGGGATTTTCCAGCCAGGTTCTGCCTACTTTAGCTCATTTTCTGTGCGTCTGCTGGTGCCCTCGGCGGACGTTGCTGATAGCCGGTGCTATCAGGTGTGAAGCGGCTGCCACGGAGGGAGGGATGTTTCCTGCAGCAGTTTGGTGCTTAGAAGCCCRGGCAGTGGGTCCAGTGCCACGCGGGGCGGCAGGGCTGTCACYGCAGTGCGGAGGTTGGAGAGGGAGATGCAATTACTGACACCGCTGCGGGCAGGAGCAGTGCGGGGACRGAGGTGCAGTGTTAGACAGGAGGAGCTCTGCAGCCCTGTGCCTGGACGTGGTGCAAAGAGCTAGTGGTGTGTGGGGGGCGCAGTGTGTGCAGTGAGTGGGGAGGTGTGTGCAGTGTCGCCCAGGGATCGGTGCGGGCAGCGCGGTGACTAGGYGTGCAGTGGTTTGAGCGGGGTGGTGCAGTGCAGGGATTGTTGGGACAGTGCAGCAAACTGCTTGGGAGGGCAGTGCAGTGCATGGAGGGGTGGTGTGGTGCAGTGACTGGGGGTGCGTGTGCAGTGCTTGGAGAGGGGCAGGGCAGTGACGGAGGGGGTGTGGTGCAGGGACGGCAGCAGTGAGATGCAGCGATGGAGGAGCAGGGTGCAGTGTAGGAGGAGCAGGGTGCAGTGTAGGGCTCGGAGAGCACAGCACGGTGAGGTGGGGCAGTGCAGGGCCCGGCGGGGCAGTGCAGTGCAGTGATTGGGGGGGGGAGGGTGCAGTGATGGGGAGGGTGCAGTGATGGGGAGGGTGCAGTGATGGGTGCAATGCCCGTGCAGTGAGGGGTGTGTGTGTGCAGTGACGAGGGTAGTGCAGTGATTGGGGGGAGTGTGCAGTGATGGGGGGTGCAGTGATGGCACAGTGCAGTGATGGGCGTGCAGTGATGGAGGCAGTGCCTGTGCAGTGGTGGTGGGGGGGTACAGTGCAGTGATGGGGGGGGTGCAGTGATGGAGGCAGTGCAGTGATGGTGCAGTGCAGTGAT